CCCCCCCGACACTTGACTCCTGCCAAATGGCCTTCTCTGTGGTCCTTTAAATACACTGGCACAATTTGATCTCAGGGCCTTTGCACTTCTCTTTGTGAATGGCCAGTTTGCTCCCAATACCCCTCCATTGCTCCTTCAACTCCTTCAGCTTTTCCCCATAAGGCCCTCCCTCACTTCTGTTGAAAATTATAGACACTTCTCACTCTCCCCCAACCAACCTTCCTCCCCTGCTGTGTTTTTTCTACAGCACTATCTACACTAGCATCTCTCATTAGAAAGTAAGCTCCCTAAGGAGCTTAAGGCCAGGAATTTCCTTTGTCTGTGCTGTTAACTGCTGAATCCCTGGAGCCCATAACAGGGTTTGAGCTCTGTAAAAATGTGTGGATTCAAGGAACAAATCATTTGAGTAATAATGAACAACTGCGCCAGACTAAGTAATAGGTGAATCAATAAAAAGAGTATAAATCAATAAAGAGATTAAAAATTTTAATATATTGTAAAATCACAAATCCAAAATCATGAAGGAAATCTCAGGCTATGTTTACATGACCCCCATAGAATTGAATTGATGTGCTTTGTTTCTGTAGAAGTAAAATCACCCTGTAACTTCCAATAGGAAACACTCCACTCACAACTAACTAGGATTTCCAGGGGCAGGAGTGCAGTAAGGAGAGGGAGTGTGGGAGGTTAGGAAACAGCAGCAGCTTCACTTAAGGTGTGATCACTTACCTGATTCAGCTGCAATTAATTCAGTATGAATTACCTGAATGACAACTGCTTATGCTACAATTATTCAAATATACCTAAATATGTCTTAATGAAGGAATATTTTCTACTTAATAGGTTTTTAGAAAGTTTTCTTTCTTTTTTTTTAGAGACCTCTGTTGAGTGCCGTGGTGTCACACAGCTCACAGCAACCTCCAATTCCTGGGCTTAGGCGATTCTCTTGCCTCAGCCTCCCGAGTAGCTGAGACTACAGGCGCCTGCCACAAAGCCTGGCTATTTTTTTGTTGCGGTTTGGCCGGGGCTGGCTTTGAACCCGCCACCCTCGGTCTATGGGGCCAGTTCCCTACCCACTGAGCCACAGGGGCCGCCCAGGGTTTTAGAAAAGTTTTATTGAGTTTATTTAGAGGTTTGACCTTAAAAAAACAAAACAAAACAAAACAAACAAAACAAACAACAGTTTCTAAAAGGTAGCTTCTGAGCCATTATGTGTTACCAGTAAGCAAAGGATGATGAATGATCACATTAAAAGTCCTATGCTTTCATCTTTATTTTAATACAGTACATATTAGAGGAAACCATCTGGCAGAATTCATGAATAGAGTCACACTTCAACTTATACAAAGAAAGAATAGTTCCATAGCAATGGCCACCAGGAAGTCACTGTCTTTCTAGAAGTAACATTGGTATAATCACAGAAAGCTTCTAGGCCTGGAATATGCCAGCCTTGGAATCCAGTCCAAGACACGCTTGGCTAAATGGAAAGATAAATCTGCTTACCCGAATGTCTTCTAGGGTCATTGCCCTCACCACAAAGCCCTTTAGCTGCTGCATTCTCACAAGGGCCAGCCGAAGTCTGTCGTTGACCATTGTCGTTTTGCCTAGGACGTTAGGCCAATAACGCTGGCATTTGATTTTTTCTCCTTCTACTTCTTGGGTCATCATGGCTATCACTGTGGATTTTTGTTCCCAAATCATCTGCCAGAAATCTCCAACAGTTGTGGGGAGAGGTCCTTGGCAGGCAATGTAAACAAACTCTTCTTTCCCCACTGGTATCTTAATGAAGCTGGCATTGATATAACCACCTTCATCTCCAAGAGGCACTCTTGTAGCATCATCTGTGAATTCCCCACCACAAATCAGAGTGGTCTATATTAGTTATGCATTTTATACAAGAGACTTCAAAATAGCTTGAGAAATTCCTCATAATCACAGATGAAATCACAAACACTTCCCTCCCATTTTTATTATTGTTTTTTAGAGGTGGGTTCTTGCTATGTCGCCAATGTTGGCCTTGAACTACTGGGCTACATATATTCATACATAACTTAAAAATATTACACTGTTGGTTGGAGAAATGGATAAAACATGGTAAAAATAATTGCTTGTATTTCCTTCTGGTATCTGCAATGATTCAAAATGTAATATAGTATGTGGTACCATTGCACATGTATGTACATGCATAGGCACAGCAATTAATCACTGTAGACACTTCTCTAAAAATCAGTGGAAGAAATGGATGGTGACTGTGATATAAGAATCCAAACAAAAAAAAAAATACTTATCCAGAAGCCAACTCATACTTTTTTTACAAAAGACTTTAAAATTAATGATAAGGCATCACTAATCTTTAATACTAAGCTAGTAAAAATTCAGGAATATCTTAACATATTTAAGAATAATTAATTTTCAGAATACATATAATTTAAAAGGGAATTCATATTAAATATCTACATTTATTTTTTACCGATGCAAATCTCTGAATGTGTGTTATGCACATGTTTGCGTGAGGGATAGGTTGGTTAAACTGGCATAGAAATGTTAAATCTGTTTAAATTACATTAAGCACATATTCAACTTGAAATAAAATTAAAACTTACATGGCCATGATAGTATTAATGTACACAGCTATGATTTAATAATAATAATAAAAAAACTTACATGGAAGGATATTTTTATATCTGTTCTTTTTTCTGTTTTCCTTAGTCTGTCCAGTTAGACACTGATCCAAAGGTTTTAGTTCTTGAAGATTCTATAAGCAAAAATGGCAATAAAGTTAAATTTGTTGAAATAAGCAGTAATTCAGTACTATCTGCAAATGCTTTAAATGTATAGGGTGGAAATTAGCTGCTGATTTTTTTTTTAAACAAGAAGTTTATTTAAACAACAAGATGCTTGACTTAAAGGGTAAAATATCTAGGATTCATTCTTTTTTTTTTTTTTTTTTGAGACAGAGCCTCAAGCTGTCCCCCTGGGTAGAGTGCCGTGGCTTCACAGGTCACAGCAACCTCCACCTCCTGGGCTCAAGCCAGTCTCCTGCCTCCACCTCCCAAGTAGCTGGGACCACAGGCGCCCGCCACAATGCCTGGCTATTTTTTGGTCGCAGCCATGATTGTTGTTTGGCAACTTGGGCTGGATTTGAACCCGTCACCTTGGGTGTATGTGGCTGGCGCTTAGCCACTTGAGCCACAGGCACCGAGCCAGGATTCCTTTTTTTTTTAGGAGTAATTTATCCCTACTTAAAAGACAGATTGCCTTACATATAACAGCTACGCATAAAAAAGTTACAAAATTGTCCTTGGCTTTAACAATGATAAATGAAAATATTAAAATTCTCCAATTAAATAAGGTATGAAAGGTTTTTCATGTTGTTGTTTTGTTAAAACAGTGAGAGCAAAATAACTTACTGGAATATAAAGATAAGAGCAGATGAGCATGTCACGAATGGATAAGAGGGGGTATTTTCCCAGAACCAGTATTTTTCCCCAACCCATCTCCATCTGATGTCAATCAAAACATATCTCTGGCCATTTAGTTTAAAAAAATTGCAATATGCTTGTGCACATACAGCAGTTACTTTATGTACAATAAAGGAATAGAGAAGGGGAAAATGAAAAGAATAGAGAAAACTGTACTGTAGTAGTTTGCAGTTTTCTAATTGAGAATGTCATCTTGGTCTATAAGAACAGAGTTCTGGAGTAAAGTAGCAGGTCCCCTCTTTAGTAGACACCTCCTGTCTGCTGTTGGAACTCATCAATTATATTTCCATCCTTCATTTCCAACTGTGCAGGAGTGTCTGTTTCATTGATTGGTTGCCTATCAAATCAGAATCTGATCTGCCTCATTGACAAACCCTGTCGTTCACAATAGGCTTTCATTAGTTTACTAAGTGGTGTATGCCTCTTAATCTTAAACCGCACCACAGAACCATCCTGTCCTGTCACCTTTAAATTTATGTATTGTTGTTCTCAGTCTTGACTCTTTCCTTAGGCTTTTCATCTGCCATAGCAAGCACCCGAGTCTCCTCAGCTGCCACGTCACAAAAGAGGTACCAGGTCTGCACTGAACAAGCACACAAGCACCACCAGGAGCAGCAGAAGAATGAGGTGGCAGAGGTCGTAGCTGCTGTTTTTTAGTGTTAAGAAATAGAGATGTTGCCAGGCATGGTGGCTCCTTATAGATGAACCAGGGAGTATAATCTTCAAAAATTTTCATTAAGTTTTAAGTAGTTAATGTGATCCTTTTAAATTAATATTATTAGGATCCTAATAAGAAAAATTAAGTATGATAAGTTGGTACTTTTATAGTTGGAAGGTAGAACTGGAATGTAGTAGAGACATTTTCAAAATTTCTCCTAATCTTGAGTTAGTAAAGATAAATTTTCCTTACAAATAAGTCCATAAACTTTGTTTGAGAGAGAACCATTGTCAGAAGTCACTTACCTCCAACTCCTTAGAAGGAATTCCTTGATCTAGTAAACCCCGCAACATTCGAATGACTGATTTCAACTTGGCACCAGTGTATTTACCAGCGGGAAGCACTTTGACGACAGGGAGGGCAGCAAGCTCCTCGTTTGACAGAAATGGGTGATCTAACATAAAGACAGCAGCAACTGATTCTTAAAAAATCATTCCCCCCAAAACATATTTGACGGATACATGAAATGACTTCAGCTACTCTTACCTTATCTATGTTTACAAAGGGGGAATCTTTAAATATGACAAAATTAGATTAATAAGGCAATAGGAATAAGGCAATAGACAATAGGAATGGGTATGCTGACAAACACAATCAACACAGGGAAATCTTTGTGGTGGTGTGACTCATGTGCCCGATTTTTAATTTTTTTTTTAGAGACAGAGTCTTACTATGTTGCCCTCAGTAGAGTGCTGTGGTGTCACAGACCACAGCAATTTCAAACTCTTGGGTTTAAGCGATTCTCTTGCCTCAGCCTCCCAAGTAGCTGGGATCACAGGCACCTGCCACAATGCCTGGCTATTCTTTGGTTGCAGTTGTCATTGTTGTTTAACTGGCCCGGGCCAGGCTCAAACCTGCCACCTTCAGTGTCTATGGCTGGCACTGTAACCACTGTGCTATGGGTGCTGAACCAATGTACCCAACTTTTAAGGCGACAATTCACTGGCTGCTCAGAAGTTCTTAAGGCTTTTGACTCTCATTTATTTACAGTTTCTAAAGGAGTTTATATTGCTCCTTTTTTGCTTCTTTTTTTTTTTTGAATTCTTAATCTGTTTTTATACTATGGACCCCTATGACCCACCAGTCATAGGGGTCCATAGTGGAAACATGAATTCACAATTTTCCTATCTTGGAATGAGAAGTCAAGGGGCACATTTTATTTATGTAAAATAGATAGAATGATAATTAATGATGTTTTAAATACATGATAAGCATGAGCACACAATACACATATATACTATAGATTACAAAACCTTTTTTGCTTCTCTTGACTCAGATGGCATTGTTATAATGAGGAAAATATCTAGTCCTGTTGTTATTTAGTACTTAAATTAGCTTCTATCCACATGGGAAAAGATGGAGAGAGAGACTTCAGAAACTTCTTACCATGGGAGATTGCTCTAGGAACAATGATTTCTCTCCTCACCACCCAACTTTGGCATTTAGTGCTGGCAGTTCTGGCATTTGATAGTTTTCTCCAAGCAAATGAAAAATTCCCTTGGGTTCTTCAGGAGTTGAGTCAAACAAGTATCTTAGAAGAGCTATGGGTCTAATCTAGTATCTGCTCTATGGAAATGACTTTTAACAAAAGGCAACTATTATCCTAGAAAAAACTAGAAGGAGAAAGTTTTTGCTAGAGCCTGCATAAGCATAGTTTTAATTTTGTCTATTAGTTGATTAAAGCTTTTTTTTTTGAGACAGAGTCCCACTGTGTCACCCTCAGTAGAGTGTCGTGGTGTCACAGCTCACAGCAACCTCCAACTCTTGGGCTTAAGTGATTCTATTGCCTCCGCCTCTCAAGTAGCTGGGATTACAGGCGCCTGCCACAATGCCTGGTTATGTTTTGGTTATAGTTGTCATTGTTGTTTGGTGGCCTGGGCTGGATTCAAACCTGCCAGCTCCAGTGTATGTGGCTGGTGCCTTAGCGGCTTGAGCTACAGGCACCGAGCCTGATTAAAGCATTCTGAAGATGTAGCTAATGTCAGGCAACAATGATGCTAAGCACTGCGGTACAAGGCACGTTAAGAAGTTTAACATGTAGCTGGGGCAAAGGCTAGTTGGAAATAAAAAATTTACTCATATGAAATGACTGTCAGCTTTTGCAGTTGAGATAAATTGAATGCAATAGGAGCTCAAAGCCTGGATAGATGAGTATTTGCTGCAGTGCTGGGTAAGAGCATCATGCATACACTAATAGTCTACCTAAGTCAAGGAACATTAATTCAACTTTGTTGATTTCTTTTAAAAACAAACACTTCAGAAGACAAAACCATGTCCTTTGATTATATTAATATAACATTTCCTTATGCAAAATAAATAAAACCCTAGGTAGAATTTTATTTTCTCTCTGGTTCGGTAATAAAATGAAAAGGCAGTAATAGAACAGACCAAATCTTTATCTCTTGATTTCAAAAGGTGAGGTTGGGAATTTAAGGATAATCATTATTCCTTATCTTTGAGTGATTCTATCTATTTTACATAAATAAAATGTGCCCCTTGACTTCTCATTCCAAGATAGGAAAATTGTGAATTCATGTTTCCACTGAAAGTGTTTAAAATTTATATATATGTTTTACTCCCAGTCACTGAGAATTTTAGGCTTCCAGTAATATCTAGTCATATAAATGAATGTTGACGTTTGTCTAAGTGATTTAACTTTGTGTACCAAAATAATGTACATATATGTTAGAATATCACATCCACATAATTCTGAAAATTGTCATTTTTAAACATTTAGCTTTCCTATCCATAGTTTTTGAGGAAAAAACTGCTAGTAAAGTTCTTGCCTTTATCAGAATCTTCGTTGTTTGTTCTCTCTACTGGCGATTCATCACTTCCCCACGTTACTTCGTCATCATCAGTCTTCCTTTCTCGTGACTTCTGAATTAAGCTATGACAACAAAATATATGTGTAATATTTTGTCCATTTTTGTCCTCAAAATAAACTTAAATATTGTGGCTTTGAATTATTTTCTCTACAATTGTTATAGTATTTTAAAATACATTATTTGATTTAAAAAACCAAATCCACAATTCTTTTTTTTATTTATTTTTAATATATATATTATTATTGTTGGAGATTCACTGAGGGTACAAAGAACCAGGTCAAATCCACAATTCTTTTTTTTTTTCTTTTAAGAGACAGAGTTTCACTTTATCGCCCTCAGTAGAGTGCCGGGCGTCACAGCTCAAAGCAACCTCCACCTTCTGGGCTTAGGTGATTCTCTTGCCTCAGCTTCCCAAGTAGCTGGGACTATAGGCACCCGCCACAATGCCCGGCTACAAATCCACAATTCTTAACCGTTATTGGTAGATGTAAATTGAACTGAGGAACAGAATAGTTTAACATGGATTTAAATTTACTCTCAAACAGATCCTAAGTCTTTAAACGTTAGACTGAAGGAGTCTCTTTTAGGATGGAGAAGGTGATAGTTTTGATTCTATCTTTCAATGTAGATAGGAGACAATTGTATCTGAGGTTAGCTCTTCCTTCTTTCTTTTCAATAGCTGCCAACTCACTATTGCATCATATGGATGCAACTTAATTTAAAGAAGTCCCTGTGGATGAACACAGTCATTTGCTACAACTGAAAGCCAGAAGGACACTCCTGTCCCTGGGCACTCACTTCATGTAATGCAAGTCTGTACAGTTCTCATTGTTCTTTCTCATTCTTTTGAACAGCTGCTTAGTACACAGCAGATGCCATCCCTGGTGAAGGTAGATGGGTAGAAAAGAGAAACTAGGTGGGAGTTTAGTTCTAAGGGAGATGACAAGGATTATGGAAAAGCCTGAATGCATTTTTCACTTTCTGATACTCAGGAGAACAAAGCAGAGTGCACTGAGGACCTTAGGACATCATCAAGACAGGACACAGACTAACACTCCCCAAATGTCAACTGGGCTACAATTACACGGCTTTTGTGATGGATGTTTCTCTCTACTCCAACTCACTGCGGGTCATGGTGAACACTTAATTTGCAAACTCTGCATGCATGAGGTTGATTCTATTTTCTACACTTGATCTTAGCCAAAAGGCTTAGAAGCAATAATGATTCTATTTTCTAAATAACCATCCCTTGGTATCTGTATGGGATTGATTTCAGAACTCTTGGTGGATACCAAACCCTGTCGATGCTCAAGTATCTGATATGAAAGGGTGTAGCATTTGCATATACATACATACATACATTCTCTCATATACTATAAATCATCTCTAGATCACTTTTAATACCTAATATAATGCTATATAAATATTAATAGTTGTTATACTGTAATGGTTTTATACTGTATTATTTTCTACTGTTGTATTACTTTTAATTTTTAAAATTTTATCTTTGTTTTAGTATTCTATGTTATTTTATTTTATTTTATTTTTGAGACAGAGCCTCAAGCTGTCACCCTGGGTAGAGTGCTGTAACATTACAGCCCACAGCAACCTCCAACTCCTGGCTCAAGCCATTCTCCTGCTTCACCTCCCAAGTAACTGTAACTACAGGCACCTGCCACAATGCCCAGCTAATTTTTGGTTGCAGCCATGTTGGTGTTCCCTGGAGCCCTCTGTTCCCTGACACAGAGAGAGGAAACTGCAGGCAGAATGACTGGTATGAAGGGAGGTTGAGGCTCAATCTGGCACAACAACCCTGCCCAACTTTACTGATTATCTTATATACTCTCAAACATTCAGTAAGAATTCAATACAGGTAAAAAGAAGTGAAGTGAAGTGAAGTAAGATCAGGAAACTGCCATTAACATTACAGTTCAGTACAATCGCTGATGAACACACATACAATTAATTTTGTTTGGGGTTAAAACATAAGGGAGCCAGGTTGTCTGCTCTTGTTAGCCCATTTTCCCTAAACCGAAACAAGTGATTATAATATTAATGACGGAAGAGGAGCAGAGCACAGCCCAGTGCCTCGACAGGTGTTCCAGCTTCCAGCTGCAACCCAGGCCTGGCCCTCCGGTTTATTCTTTTGTGAGAACTGAGGATGTTTCTGCATTTCTGCAGACCTAGGCAAGTCCTCAGAGAAAAGAACTCCATCTCAGAGCCATTTTCTGTGGGGAGCACATGAAGCTAAACTGCCACGTCTTAGCATGGGGTACTGCATCCCTACACAGCCCTCATTGTTGTTTGGCAGGCCTGGGCTGGTTTTGAACCCGCCAGCTCTGGTGTATGTAGCTGGCACCTTAGCCACTTGAGCTACAGGCACTGAGCCTGTTTTAGTATTTGAATCTTAAGTTTGTTGAATTCCTGAAGGGCAGCTATCCTTTGTTTGCAAGATGTATTCTGCAGAGCCTTCCATCACATTCCCTTTTATCTCATTCTTTTGGACAGCTGCTTAGTATTTCATTGCATGAGTACCTCCCTAATTTGTTGTCTCTATTAGGGTATTACAAACTATTTATAGTAAGTAATATTCTAAAAGAATATTCTCTTATAGAAATGTCTTTGCA